ATGATTTGACTCAATTGTTAAATTCTTTATTTTTAATTGCGTCTGACTCAATTCAATAATTTCTATCACATGTATATATTGATTGTTAATATATATAAGTAATATTAACAGACCTGTGGATTCATAGTATAGTAGTTAACACTTTACAGGTCAGATCACAAAATACTAGTTCAACCCCAGGTAAAAGCAATTAAATTGAATTAAAAATAGTATCTGGAGTCATAACCTGTTAAGCCCTGTTTTCCATAAAAAGTCATTCACACATTGATCCAATAGGACATTGGGATTGTGATCTTCAGAAAAAATATCATGGCATGACGATTGTTCAGTTAGTGTTACAATGATTACCAAAAATTGTAAGGTATATGAGGTATCTGCTTTCAACAAGTAGATTTGGTGATCTTTCCTTTAATATCCAACATCTTTCACGCAGATTCCTGCCCTAGTCTTATTCTAATTTAGTAATAAACCAGTCTGGCAGTACTTATCCCAAGAAGGCTTCTGGCTATAAGTTCTGTTCCCTGCAATATATAAATCGATGTTTAGGCAGTAAGCACTAGTTATAAGTATCTTGAACGTTCTTGGGTATCATTGAACAGGTAAAAAATTAAATAGTTAGCCCAGCTACAGATGGTGGTAAAGGGATTTATCCCTGATGGAGCAAGCAATGATCATATAGTTTTATTCACTATAAATATTATCCCTAGTACTACCTTTAACTTCTCCTTAATTCTTTCCTGGTTAGAAATAAAGCTGTCCAATTACTAGTAAAAATGCATGCTATTGGTACAACAAAGAATTACCTTTGTTCAGCAAATTAGCCTTTATACCTAATATAGTTAAGAACAAGCTATAACAAACATCGTTATTTGGAGCAATCCCAATAAGTATTGGATATAATTGATAACCAATATTTTATAGCATAGTTCTAGATAGTAATGTCAAAAGATATATATAAACATCATTATTAAGAATAAATATTCAGCCAGACAATTATTACTGATGTACTTTATATATGTGACGTAAATTATTTTGCTGTTGATTCAATTCCTAAAATCCTCAAAAATAATTGTGTCATGACTAAGGATCCTGACGATTCTCTTCAATTCTGTATTCGATTCTCAAGTTTATATTAAATTTAATAGGTGGGGTATACCCTACTATCATTTTTAATAATGTTTTGAACCTCATGCGATTCTGTTCGATTCTACTTGATTTCAATTTTTGGAACCATAGTCATGACTCAATTATTTATATGTTTTAATAGTAACTCAATTAATTGTGTCAAATAATTGTGTCAATTGCATCAAGGATCTATAAATTTCAGCAACATGTATAGTACACTTTAAAAAAAATAATAATAATAAATAAGTAGTATTAACTTTACTAATATAAAAGACATATATAAATATATAATATACAAATTAATATAAAATAATTTTATATATAAGATATTTGATATATAGCTTAGATATTAATTATTAGTAAAAAATATATATCATTGTATAATTTGTCTTTTAAAAAAAATAAAATTACATTAATTGTATATTTTATAAATAATTAAAATATTGTTGCAAATATTAATTATAATAATAAAATAAAATAAATAAACCAATAACAAATCAATATAAATCAAGTAACAATAACCAATGAAATAAAAATTAAGTTATCTATTCTATTACACTAACTTATTATTTAATAAAAAAAATTTTAATATAGAAAGCTATATACATAAAACAAAACATTTATGTTATAAGAAATCAAAATCACTGATTTATAATTCACCTGAAATTTAGTAAATTTAAAGAATGTTTTAAATTTAGATTTTTTAATTGATATGTTACATGTGTACCTTTGAACCATTCTCTTTAATAAAATTATGTCCAGGCTTCACCGGACACTAAAAAAAAATTGACAATGAAAATATTTCCAAATCGAGATAAATTTTCGCAACTTCCTATTTTACTGTTAACACTCACGATTTACACACTTGTTATTCATGCCATCATCCGCAAATTTATCAAACCAATTCCTAAGAGTAGACACATCAAATCCCGGAAAATACTGATGAATTTCATTTTTACCCACAAAGGCCTTTAGTCCACCAATAGCTAGTAAACGTTGTAAACGTTGATTTTCAGGAATCTCAGAGAAGCGGAATTTATAAACTTTAATAGGTGTGCCTTGATATTTGGAAGAATGCATTTTAATTAGTTCTTATAAAACTCACGTGAAAATAAAAACCGTACACGGTAAAAGCATACCAATTTCCTTCTTTAATTCATCATAGATCTGTCGTTGACTCGTCCGCTTACCAATAACAATCTTTCGTCTATACAGATCCAACTTATCCTCGACAGCACTATATACCAGAATTCTCAATAAATCGTGTTTAAACGTAATATTGAATGGCTCTTCACCGGACCCGTAGAAGGTAATGATCTTGTCTTTGAAATGGAATCCCATGTTGTTTGACAAGATTTCAGTTTGGAGGAAACCGGTGTGAAAGAGAGTATATTTGAAAGATGAGGGAGTATTGTCGAGAAATGTTGTAATATTGATGGGTTCAGAATCGGATGAATAGTCGGAGTCATCACTATTATTTTAAAAAGAAGGGTGAGAATCTACAAGAGTCGCGTGACCTAGATTTGGTGCTTACATCGAATGAAGGTCAACTCCATATTCCCATGTAACGAACCGTGGAATCTGTGCTTCGACACAGGCGTTGATGATCAATTTTTGATGTTCGTAATTGTTTCCCATCATGCTTATTACCACATCCACCCCTATTTGTTACCAATAAGATTGATTAGATTTGAAAAATTAATTATTGACAAAGAACATATTCGGACCTTTAAGTTGAGCACTTAACAACATTTCGATATGATATTTCTTTAATGAATCCCTATTATTTATTGCAAAAATAACAATTAAAAACGAGAGGTCAAACTCATCTATCAATAGAAAATCAAATCTCTTACTGTTTTAATTTTTGACCGCTTGGCCAATGACACTAATTGAATGAAAACCTGAATCAACGTAAAGCTCATCCACAAGACTCGAAAACCGAAAAATGAATGAAGAACAACCTCACCTCTTCTTTAGAAAAACATTTTACAATGAAACTCTTACCGCCGCTACACGAGTTATTATATTTTTCAATACCAACACTAACAATATTCATATCTCTTTCATTATAACCAATTATCAAAATGTTTTTTTGGTTTTTTGAAAAAAATAGATTTATCGTGTTTCTCTCCATATTTGTTATTATATGAGAACGTCGATGAGATCAAAGGATTTATATATTTTCGCGCAAAAATTGTAATTCAAAAAATATCTACAGACGAAAGATCGATCTTTTAGAAATTAATTAAGAGAATCTTTTTATTTCATTTTACTACTAGACTAATCTACATATTGCCACTTGCTTGTAATTATCCCACTGAAAATTGTCTCCACAATCACATTCAAAAATTATTTCTACTCTCCCTTTCATTCATCAGTCTCGACACTATTTTCATGACACACTTCCCCCAAAATTCACGAATAAAAGGCAAATATAATAATCACGAAAACTTAAATAAATCAACACCCAATTATCATACATTTTGACAATTGCAAAAGCAAAACAATAATAACTGACTTTGTACTTTTCGGTTAATAGAAACAAATGGATATCGATCAATCGATCAATCACCAAAATGGGATCCGAACCACGTATTTTTAAAAACAGTCTTCTCTTAAACATCACGAATTATTTTCAATCACTCTTAAATCAGTAGACTACACGTTTGTGTAAATTATTTACATTGTTACGTGGTTTATCATTTGATCCATCTCTAAATAAGTTTTCTCGTGATAATAATTATTCTTAATTTTTTTTATTCTTTTAGGTATTTCATTACAATTCCTTAATACTTTATACGCCATTTTCATATGAAATATGTCTCATCAGTTATTTATTAACAAGTATCTTATGATTTCTTGCAAAAATGAAAACGACATAAAAAAGACGCGTCTTATTGAGTATCATGCACGCAAAAGAGAACATGTGAGCTTTGGTTACAAATTAAATGATTTCTATTCGAATTATTTGATTTTCATCAAATTTAAAGAATTTTATTATTATGCACACATAAGTAGGGGATATTAAATCGATTCAATTTTCGAACAGTTTGCGACGTACTCCGATCAATGGACAGCTTGCATATAAAAAACTTATTTGTCACATATAATCTATTCCATTCTTATATAAAAAATTTTCAATATAACTTATTATAAATTATTCTATATGTTATTGAAAAACTTATGAGTCATGATTTTTGGAAATTTTTTAATTTTAATTTATCTTATAATTCAATAAAAAACTTTTATTTGAAATTTAAAAGTAAAAAATTTTTAATAAATTATACTTGCAAAAAAATTTTAAAAAAATCTAAAAAATTTGAAAAAAAAAAATTTGCATAATATAATAAAAAAAAATTTTTATAAAAAAAGATTAAATGTATTTTTTTTTTTAGATTATAAATACATATATAATTTCAATATTGTGATCAAAATCCGTTTGATCCATATCTGAGTGTTAGTTTTTAGAAGGAATTAGAAATTATATAGAACAATCCGTCATTCCAGGAATAATCTCTCACAAATATTCCAAGGTATGGCAAAGATTCTCCAATAAATCTTTGTAATCAAAATGTATTTAATAAAATAACTGTATTTTATTAAGACACGAAACCAAAAATTCAGATAATTACAAGAGTGAGTTATCAAGAACTGACTAAAAATTACATAGGCAGTAACTACTTATATATAGGATTCCGATCGGTACCATTTGGTACGGTATTTCATAAAACTGATACCAAAAATATTTTTCAATATCGGTACTGATAATTACTAAAAATTTTCAGTATGAAACTTTGCAATACCAATACCGAACCAAAAGTACTGAAATTATTGAAATTAAATAAGTTTATATTTTTAATATAACATATATTTATCATGTACAAAAATAATATAACTCAAACATGTATATAAAGTTTTCAATTTCACCTAAGAATTAATGGATTTGAACTTTTATTTTATTAAATAAATAAATTAGCCTTTACAAAAACAAATTACCATTGTCTCTTTCGTCTG